GGTCTATCTTCCACATATGAGAGAAAACATGCAATTTTTGTCTTTCTGAACCTGACTCACTTCACTTAAGTTCTCTAGATCCATCCATTTACCTGTGAACAACAATATTTTCTCTTTATGACAGAATAAAATTTCGTTGTATTTAAATGACACATTTTCTTAATTCATTCAGCAGTTGTAGGGCATCTTGACTGTTTTCATAGCTAGACTATTGTGAATAATGCTGCAATAGACATAGGTGCACATGTGTCTTTACTGTAACCTGACTTACATTCCTTCAGGTAGGCTGGTAGAATGGCTCAAGTGGTAGAGCATCTGCCTAGCAAGTGTGAGGCTCTGAGTTCAAACCCCAGTACCACAAAAACAAAAACAAACAAAAAAAACATTCATTCAGGTATATCCCTGGGAGTGGTATTGCTGGATATTTTTAGTTTTTCAATGAGTCTTTACACTGTTTTCCATAGTGGTTGTACTAATTTACATTCCAACCAAGAATATACATCCTCACCACACATCCTCACCAACATTTATTTGTTGTTTGTGTTTTTGATGATGGCCATTCTAACAGGAGTGAGGTGGGATCTTAATGTGGTTTTGATTTGCATTTCCTTTTTGGCCAAGTCTGTTGAGCATTTCTTCAAGTGTTTTTAGCCATTTGTACTTCTTACTTTGAAAAAGCTCTGTTTGTTCATTTGCCCATTTCTTTATTGGGTCATTGATTCTTTGGGGTTTAAGTTTTTGAGCTCCCTGTAAATTCTGGTTATTAATCCCTTATCAGATGTATAACTGGCAAAGATTTTTTTTCTATTCTGTGGGATGCCTCTTCAATCTGGTGACCATTTCCTTTGCTGTGCAGAAGCTAAGCTGTATTTAAACATATTTGACCCATATGGTTTTTTGGTTTCTTATATGGAAAAAAAGGAACAGGAAAACGTTCTTCAAAGTTAGTAATTTTAATGATTGCACACCTGTCCAAATCACTCTCTCTCATCAGCCAATTTATCCTCAGGATTCTGGATTTCTAAAATCACATTCACTGGCCACTTTTGCTCATTAAAACATTTTAGATGTATTTAAAAAAAAGAAACTAAACTGAACTTCATATTTTTTTTCAAGGAGTCTTTTAATTATTCTGTCCCTCACTCAGGGACAGACTCTTGGCCATTTGCTCTGAAGTCATTTGGTCTAAACGCAGGCAATGGGAACTAGGCAGGGTGACAGCAATGGTGATATTCTAGCTCTTGTTTTGGGTGCTGAGTTCAGTATTAATTTATTATTGTATTTCCAAGACAAATCCAAAATTTTTTTATGTTTTAATATATCAAATATATTAAATACAAAACCACAGACAACTGTTTTTCAGTTATGGGGAAGTGGGGTAGTTAAGGGATATTTAAATTCTACAAAGGACCATATCATGTTTTAAAGGACAGAAAATACAGTATAATTTGAGATACTGTTATAAAATTTGACTGCTTAGCATGTATAATATATGTATACATGTATAATATAGTAACAAATCAAACTAAAATGAAAAAAATTTTGCTCCTTAAAAGCCAATTATTAAGTGAATAAAAGAGCCACAGATTGGCAGAGGATATATTCAAAATCTGACAAAGGACATGTAAACAAGTATATATAATGAAGTTCTACAATTCAACAACTTTGAAACATTAACCCAATTTTAAAAGTGGAGGTCAGGTATAATTGCTCACACCTATAATCCCAGCTACTTGGGATGCAGAGAAAGAAGAATCACGGTCCTATGTTGGCTCAGGCAAAAAACTTAGCAAGACCTTATCTCAAAAGAACAGACTGGGTCTGGTGGAGTGGCTCAAGTGGTAGAGTGCCTGCCTAGCAAGCATGAAGCCCTGAGTTCAAACCCCAGTACCAACAACAACAAAAAAGAACAGGCTGGACACAATGGTACACACTTATAATACAACTACATGGGAGGTATAGATAGGAGGATCACAATCCAAGGCCAGCCTGGTCAAAAAGTATGAAACACTATCTGAAAAATAACTAATGTTAAAAGGCCTGAAGACATGGTTTAAGTGGTAGTACTTAGCTAGCAAGCACGGGTCCTGAGTTCAAAACCCCAATACTGTCAAATTTAAAAAAAGAATGGACAGAAGAAGACTTGACCAAACACTTCACAAAAGAAAATAGAAAAATGGCCAATGAACAAATAAAAAAGTGTTTATCATTATCCATGAAGAAACATAAATTTAAATAACAATGAGTAGTACTCATCTATTAGAGTAGATAAATTCTTATTTTTTTTGGTAGTAGCTAAATTTAAAAAGACTCACAACATCAAATATTACCAAGGACTTGAAGTAGCCAGAAAAGTCATTGCTTGCTAGAGTGTAAAAATGGTACAACCATATTGGGAAAAAGTCTGGAAATATCTTAAAATTTAAACTCACCATAGTTCTTAAAATAGTCTTAGGGAAATAAATAAATAAATAAATAAATAAATCATCTAGACTTGGAAAGGATGAAATAATGATATGATCTTGCATATAGAAAATCCTAAGGAATCCACAAAAAGCTGTAATATTACAAATAAGTTCAGTAAAGTTGTGGGCTTCCAAGTGGCCCAAACAATCTTGAAAAATACGAATGAAGTATTTTGAGGTAGTCACACTTTACAATTTCAAAACTCACTACAAAAGCTATAGTAACCAAAAATGGTATGGAACTGGCATAAATCAGACATATAAATCAATAGAACAGAACTGAGAATCTAGAAATAAATCCTCACATTTATAGTTAACTGATTTTTAAGAGGTGGCAAGAAAACTCTAGGCAGAAGCAGGAGTGTTTTTTAACAAATGCTACAGGGACAACTAGATAGCCCCTGAGAAAGAATGAAGTTGAGCCCATCTCATACACATGTGAAAATTAACCCAGAGTGGATCACGAAGCTAAATGTACAGGCTGAAAACTAGAAGGCGCTTAGAAGAAAACTAACAAGTACATCTTCCTGACTTTAGATTAAGCAGTAGAGTTTTAGATAGGACATCAAGTGGCAGGGAATGAAGAAAACATATTTCAGAATGATGCTTACAATGTGACACCTTTTAAATGAAGCTTAAAAACATTCAAAACGAGAGTCAATATTGTGATAGACACATACGTATGAAAAATTAGTATCCAAATATGTATTATAGTGAAAAGGAAGAGGACCAAGAGGTAAATAAGAGCTTAAACAACATCTGCATCTATTCCTTTTTTTTTTTTTTTTCTTCCCTCCTTTTGCAGTGCTGGGGACCAAACTTGGGGCTTTGCACATGGTAGGAAAGTGCCCTACTACTGAGCTACATCCCCAGTCTTTAGGGTTTTTTGAGAGAGAGTCTCATTTATCTTGTGTCTCCACCTCCCAAGTTCTGGGATTACAAGCATGAACCACCACATCCAGCTGTGACCTTTTGTTTCTGGGGTGGGGAGGGGGTGACCTCTCTCAGACAAATAGGGCATAATGTCAATATTTGATAGAAGTGGGTGTAGGTGCACACAGGTGCTGTTATGAATACTTGGAATATTTTACAATTTGACAGATTATATTTTTAAAAGAATGAGCCATTGGTATGAACAGGCATTGTCAGGACAGCATAGGGTAAAATGAAGGTAAATGGGACTGATCTCAAACTACACTAGTCCCCCAACAAGTAGCTTGAAAATTGCCTTCTGAATAACTTCCTGATAATGGCTCCCTTATTTGTCATTGCCTTTATTCAAAACTGGAGTACAAAGTATGTGCCCTCAGAATGATTACTGGAATTTTCCACTTGTTTGTATTCTATACAAATAGCTGTGGCTTATGTTTATTTTTCTCTCTCTCTTCTCCTAAATTTGTTTTCATCAAATTTTCCCAAGCTAAATCTCTTCCTTTTGTTTTTTTTTCCTTTCCCGAGATTTGCATTTCCTTTTGAAGCAACTATAAAGCATTATTTTCTTTTTCCATTTTGCTCTTAACTCAAACAGTACATTTCTTAGTTTCTGTTTTTTTACTGTCATCTATACCTTGGTTGGTTTGTCTATATCTCCACTTGCCCCAAGCACAGGATAAGCCTCCAGGTTGTTACAAAGAGGAGGAAGGCTCACCAATTTAGGACTAAGAGGTTGATTTATATGCTGATGAGGACTTCAAAGTTATTTAAATGTGTAACACTCCCTTCATACATGCTTCTCTAATGGGGTTATAGTAAACTGGATGGGTCATGTGGAAGATGGAGTTGCTGCCATTATTAGAGTCAGGTCAGTCCTATAGGTGAGTGGGCCCCAGGCCTGGAGCCCCAGTTCCTCAGTGTCACAGAGCCCAGTAGGCATCTTGGCTATTTATTAAGTCACATGGGACATGAAAGGGGAATCTTTCGTTCTCTTCTATTCCCAAGCAACAATAACAGCTATCATTTTTTGAGCACCTTGTTCTAGGCACTCAATGCTATTCCACTTCACGCACAATTTCCTGTGAGAAAGGCATTATCATCCCCACTTTGCAAACAGGACATTGGGGCATAGGAGAACAACACGTGTTAGCTCACACAGCTGATGGGAGACAGAGCTGAGATTCACACTCAGCTGTGGCTCATGGCAAATCCCTGCCCCTTACCACCACACCATTGTTTCCTTTCCTGTGGGCAGCAGCAAGTGGGAGACTTTCCAGTGCTGGGGACCAAACCCTGCTCCTAGTAGGGCAGACTAGTTTTTTGGTGGAAAAGTTGTTCTTCCTCACAATCCACCATCCACTGTACTCAATGTATTTATAACCAAAATGGGGAATTGTTTCAGTCATCAAGAAAACAATTTGGGTCCTCAAATATGACATCAATAAAAGCAAACACAAACATACACACATATATATACTGTATGTGGGGTGGGGGGCAGAGGGCAGGATGGCATCTGCTGCTAAGCCAGGGGATCCCCTCAAACACTGCTCACATAGCCACAGTCCCGGACAATGAAGCCCCTACTGAGGAATGGAGGCATACCTGAATAGGGTCTTGCGTCAGTCTCATGGGCCCAATGCGTACCTCCGCGGAAGACACCTGCTAAATAAAGGACAGCACATGAGAAGTGTCAAGTCTTAAACTACGCAAACTGACAAATCCTTCCATACAAGCATATTACATTCTGTCACTTTGTGCACTCGAAATGGAAGGAACTAACTTACTGACTTGGAAACGGGTAACAAAACTTCATGTACAGTACAATCTTGGTTTTATAAAAGAATATATATAGTTATAGTGTTGGAAATATCTGAAAGGATGTCTCCCCAATGGCTATATAGTAGGTCTTTGGGTTATTTTTATATTATGGGCCAGGATTTTTGTAATAGTAGGTACTGTTTTATGGCAGTATGCACTTCAAAAATTATTTACTGCACACCTACTATGTGCTAGGCATTATTATTACTATAAATATAGCTATATTATTATTATTATTATACTATTTTTCTAAAATTTCAAAAGAGAATAAAAATTTCCATCAATCTTGGAAGATACAGTACATCTTCCACTTAGGAACTGTTCCTATATTTAGATGTTATTTTTCTCTTCTTCATGCTTTAGTACAAGGAATAAACAGCTTGCTCTCGTCCATGTTTACTAAGAATGAGGTATTAATCTCAGTTGTATTTCCTCAAGTGCACATAGTAACACCATACCATGATCGCAAGAGGCTAAACTCCACCCCACAACTCCTGGAGTCAGCCTGCAACTCTCAGGTGCCCCTGACCCATACCACCTAACCGCCTTTGGCCACAGGAAGACAGCAAATATTTATCTTTACTTTTGATTACTTTACTTGAACTTCTAAAAATGAGTTTTCTTTAGACTAATTTGGTTGAAGGTCTTGGCTTCACCTCCATGGACCAAATTTTGTTTTTCTCTAAGAGGCTGTAATCACACCGCCTGGAAGTTTATCCCTCACGCAGCGCACTGTATTGGCCCCTTGTCAATCTGAAGGAGCCTGGTCAGTTGGCAAGCTTCAGAGTCCATGCAACCAGGGACACTGCAATGCCCTAGGGCCAGAGGAGGCCTTATCCATTTAAAAACATCAAGTAACAACAATAAAAGTAGAACTTTCTATAAATTCTATTTTGGAAAACTAAAAATTTCCCTTCCTCCCCTTTTCCCATGCTTAACATGGGGTAACTCCCCTCCAAAGTCCCCCCATTCTTTCCTCAATGGGCTGGATTCCCCACTCCACCACACTTGGCTGTGAAAGAAAACAAAGTTGGGTGCCTAGGCCCCTTACCAGACTAGCCAGCAGAAAGCCCACAGAGCCTCTGAGGCTGCTAACCCTGCAGAGATACCCAGGAGGACGCTTTGCCTCTCCCACTCACTGCAGGAGGCAGCCTCCCTGACCACGGGTGTACTGCGGACTGGCACAAGTAAAACCCACTTGAATCCCCGAGACTGTGAACCGGCGACAAGCTCCTTCAGCATATGTCTGGATAAAAATGTTACATGCTCCATTGAGTATGTGCCTCTCTTATGCTCCTTTTCCCTGAGCAATTCAGCAAATCAGCAAACCCTGCAAGATATGGGTAACACCAGCAGGCTGATGCACAGCCCAGGAATGACAGCATGAAGAGGCACATCACACCATGGGGTCTCTTGCCTTCCTGGATAACAAGCCCCATCCAGGTCCACTCCCAAGGTGAAGTTTCTTTGAAACAGACACACACCTTCAAAACAACCCAACTGTGAGAACTACTGATTAAAAAGTGAAACCGATTTGGTTCAGATAAATGTGACATTCTGGCCATCTCTTTCTCTCCCTATGATCTTCTTGAGCTCAAGGCACGCACTGCAGATAAGCCCCCTCCAACGAGGTACCTGTTAATGGTTTCTTCAGCAAAACTGGACTCCTACAGGAGTCCTCCAGGGGCAGAAAACAAGTGGATGAAATCACAGACCAATAAAAGTGACAAAGGAATAAAATAAAAAGGGACTTACTTTGGAGGCCAAGAGACTGAAGGAGGACCTCTGCAGAAGGGCACAAGCTGTCCAAAAAATAAGGACAAATCACCCCCACCTGGGGTAAATGCCATTATGCACATCCAGTGGTGACACAGATAGCCTTCCTCAGAGGTAGGAGGCAGCTAGTTTAAGCTCCACCAGGGAAAGAGCTGATGACTGAACATCCCCCAAGCTGCTCTCTTCTAGGCATTGTTAGGCATGCTCACATGTGTGAGCTTTGCAGAGACAGGCAATAGCACTGAGGGACAGTATAGTTTTAAAAGCAACACTCAAGATAAAAGATTCGCTTTCCTGCCTAAGGACAGGAAAGACTGCAAGTTTTCTCCCACTGTCACAACAGTCCCCTGACCATGTTCAGCACTTTAGCCTCTGTCTGACCTAACTTAGGAGGAAGCCAAGCTGTGAATCTTGGTATGAAGAACACAGATCCATGGCCCTTTCCCAGCTCCTTGCCTCTCAAGTCTCTACCTGCCCCTTATCCATCCCCTCCCAGCCTCACTTCACTGTACCCTTCCCAATGCTGTCTCTTCACCTCTGCCTCCAGCTTGGGTACCTCAGTTTACTGGCTCTTCTCGTCACAACTCACACTTTGCTTCCTGTCTCTTGACTTGTCTTTTCCTTCTTGGTCTTTGTTCCAGGTCATCTAACTTGGCTTCTGTGTCCAAAAGAGTTCAATTGTCTCAACAGAACCCAGGAAGCTGTTCTTGCTGGCTGGCTCTGAGGGCTGGCTTCAGGCAATGGCCAGCACAGCAAACCTGTAACAGGTAACTCACAGACAACAGTTTACGGAGCTCTGTTTTGGACAGAGGAGTCCCTGCTGCCTGCACTTCACTGACTTATCACACAGCATTTACGCAGAGAAGCTTGTGTGGCCAAGCCAAGACTCTACTTCTAAGAGTGAACTTTGAGCAAGATCCTCAATTAGTGCCTCCAGGAAGTGATCACATTTGCTAGGGAAAAAGAAACAAAAGTGGGGTGGGGTCACAGGTAACAAAATTCCATTACTCAGGAAGAGGAGAGGACGGGGCCATAATGAGAAGAGACTGCTTCACCGCTACTATAACCACAGGAACTTCCCCAGTAGCCTAATGAGAAAGGAATGTTGAACAACAGGGCAGGTTTGATGCATATTTGTAGTGTGTCAAATATTTGTGTGTGTACAAATGTGTATGGATGGTAATACACAAGCATGTTAGCAGGGTCACCAACTCCCCTTCAGATGATCTGGCTCTCTAGGGGGAAGAAAAGAGTCCTATTTTGTAGCATTAGCTGATTACCATGGTGTAAGAATTTTCATCATGGCTGATCTCAAGGTTGCAACACAGATGGGATCCCTGTCTCACTGAGCTACATACCCTCCAGCAACTGAGCTTAGCACTCTCACATCATTCTCCACTTCCTTCTGTCCCCTCAGACATGGCCCATTAGTTGGATCTGAACTCACTCCAGCCAGTCTCTGCCCCCCCCCCCCCCCCCCCCAGGCCCCGGCTCTCCAGCACCTCCTGGCATCTCTGACACACTGGACCATTCAGGGGCCAAGAGGTCACTGGGCAGTTCATAATCCTTCCTCCTGTTGTTGCTTCTACCTCTGGTCTAGACATCTGCATTTATTAGAAGTACCTGGGAAACTTTAAAAATACATCAATGCCTGGTCCAACTCCACACAAACAGAATCGAAATCTCCAAGGACTGGGCCTGTTGAGTGCAGCAGAGTTGACAAGTCACTCATCTACTCTCTTACAGACATATCTGTTGTCCAGGTCAGCACACTGGCCCCTCAAAGACTCTGTTACATGTTTGTGACTCAACAAATACCAATGGGGCATATACTGTGTGGTAAAATAAAAAACAGATAGTTTCTAGGAAAATTTGGTAAAATAAAACCCTAGAAAATTCCAGGGATGATAGTCAAGAAGAGTAACTGCTCTGTGCCTCTGTAAAACTAGAGAAAGCTGATGAATTCCCCCACACACATCATCTCCCATGGAACAGGTACAATAGGACCACGAGGAGTAATGGGCCCTCTTTCATAGGTAAAGTAGCTAAAAACTACAGAAAGGGTAAGCAGCTTACCCATGGGGCTAAGATTGAAGACCAGTCCTACCTTATTAAGACCATGCTTTTATTCATATATTTACTTATACCTGAATTTATTCCAGAAGGGTCTTTAGATGAGATGGTGTACCAAGAGATGTTAAATTAAGTAAGAGTTTTAAGATGACTTATAAATAAGATACAAAAGATGTGGCTGAGAAATAACAAGCATGGGAAAGATGAAGCAAGTAGAGAGGTCAGTGTATATGATGTCTTCCACTAAGAACACATTCCTACAGAAGTGGGCCCAATCTATATGTCCACCACCAGGGCAAGGAGGGAGATGACAGCCCTGGCCACTCCGTGCACTAAACAAAGTGATGCAAGTTCTAACACAGTGTCTCACACTGGCCTGCCCATGCCCTCCCTTCCACTTCACTGTCACTGTTGTGATGAAGGCTGTTCTTTCCTAAGTGTGATCACTGCTGTCAGAAAGCCTTAGTGGGCAAGGGGAGAAGATGCTGCATCTCAACCTGCCTGGAAAACATAGCAGTGAGAAAAAGAGACGATATCCCCTTTTTAGGTCTGAAGCAGTAATTTAAAAAGATAAACCCAGAAATCATGGAGATGTTATCAGAGTCAAACACAGAAAACTTGGCCAGCATAGTGGAATAGAGGAGCCATTTTTCCCATAATATCAAATGAAAGAAAGCATTTATGTAGTATAGTCATACCATCTACAGCAATGAGAAAAGAACTCAGCCTGATACTGATTATGTACTAAAAGGAAAAAGGAAAAAAAAAAATGGAACTCATGAAATGACAAGGATCCAAAGAAAGCAAGCACAAGGAAGCCTTAGAGTTAACTTCAGCAAGCCTTTAGAGGAAAGGAAGACCCAACTGCACTTTGATGTATGGTTACGTCAAAGACTTCCCATCACACACGCACTGCAAAAATCAAGACATCAACCTTCCATAAATGCAAAAATTCTGTGACAGCATCCCTAGGCTGAGTGTGTAAACACAGCAAA